TATACTGAGTTAGCTTAATTTCAAAATCGGGAATAAGCTGCTCAGTTATTATTTGAGTAAGTTTATCTATGCGTGGTCGGTTATAGTTATATTTATAGTTATATTTAAGAACTCTCTAATGACTTTCGGTAATCATTGTAGTATATGGAAATGGTATGGCTAGTGAATATGAAGATAAAGCAAACAGTTTCCAGTCCTTTTCATTATACCAGTTTGTCCATAAATAACCCTATAACCTAACAAGGTTATGTGAATGACAAAACAGATATATTTCTTGGACACAAAAACGATATATTTCTGCTGAAGTCATATAAGAGTTTTTTCCAACAGGGATAAGAGGATGCATTGATGAATGTTTTTTAATTATATTTGAAATTTCTTTAACATACTCATCTGAGCAGAAGGATCCATTACCATCTTGAATCCATGATGGATTGATAAAATCAAATTTTCGATGTGCTTCTAATGCCTTAGTTCCAGAGTATGTACTTGTTTTTGATTTTTTTTCTTTTAATTTTCGGTCAATTGCATGTAAAATATGCCAGCAACAAATTTGAATACTGGCTGTCCATGACCAAGCCTTACTAACAGAAGAGATTTCTCCTGCATCCTTATCTGTAAGCACAAATATTGGCAGCAAGCCCTCTTGGCGAAGACTAATGAAAAACATACGTAGTACTTCGACACAACTTTTTACAAAATTTGTAGGATTATTTCTAGCTTCTTTGGTACTATTTGAAGTAGACAGATACATGTATGCTATTGGCATACCATACCCGCCACAGTTTAGATTTATGACAAATAGCTCAAACCTTTCTTTATTTGTTTTAAAGGTTGAGTCTATAACAATTTCTGTTGCATTTTTTATATCAACATGTTTAAACAGTGGTGTCAAAAATCCTAAAACCCGCACAAAGTCGTTTTCAAGATAGGTAAGAACTTTAAACCCTTTTTCTATAAATTTAGGTTGTTCAAGGTATAACTTCGCAGATAAAAGTGAATTATCATTATTAATCGTATAGGTGCTTTTACTACAAGTATATATCCAGTAGTATACTTGTTCAATTGTATGGATTTCTGGATTAATAAGTTTACTTTACAGAGACAATGATATATTTTTGTACATCTTATATTAAATGAAACATTATTTTGAATCCATTTTCTTGCTTCGATTGGAAACTCTATTTGCCAGTAAGTTGGTTTTGTATATGTAACATTATGATGTCCTTGAACTAAAATATATTGCTCTTCTGGAATTATAGTGAGCTTTATATTACCTAAACAGGCATACCTTTCTATAGGTGCATGAGCTTCGCTAACTCTTTTAGATGGTTGACTATCTATTTTTTTCTATGCTCGATCCTCTCGCATTGTGCAGCCAAGGTATATGGTTGCAGAACCCGAGAATTTTTTTTTCCAGATATTTAGATATGTTTTGCATACCTCCCAATAATAGCCAGATCCTAACTTAAGTGGCACGATAAATGCATAGGCAAGTTGAAGAAATCTATTCTCAATTGTTTTTAGATTATTACTATCTAAATCAAGTTTAGTCAAAGAAACGGTGGAAAGAATATCTTGGTCTATTTCAATCTCATATATGAATTTTATAGATTCATTCTGTGCTTCTGCTTCTTTGAATATTTTTGCTGTAACTTCTTGCATTTCATCCAGGTCATAACGTAATACTTTTAGGCTATTATCATCCTGGTTATCGCACTCATCCCCTTTATTTTCATATTGGAGTTCATTAATAGAGCTTTCAAGACCGAAATCTAGGTTTTCTGAACCTTCATATATACTGGAATCAGTTTGAGTTATTTCATAACTTTTCAAATTTTCACTTTGATTTAATTTAGAGGTTGACTTTTTTTTTCCTTTATTTTTTAGATAGCATTGGTTACATGTATCATGCTCACGATGCGAACCATTCCTAGAAAGGTGCCAAAATTCATTCAAAATCTTCATGGAATGGCAGCCATTACACCACTTTTTAAGGTTTTGTGCTGATGTTTCTATATAAAAAAAAATTATTTAATTTACTTAGTAACAAACAAAATCGATGCTAATTAATTCGTATTCTAATTAATTTATATCTTGAATTATATTAATATCACTCATTTTACTATATTTAATTCAGATGAAAAAAGTCTTTAGAAAGGTCTAATCTATTTGAATGGAGTTTATAATCAGGTTATTTCTAGAATTCAATTGACTTTTAATATAACTTTAGTATTTTGAAGCGAAGACAATTAAGACTTTTTAATATAACTTTGGTATTTTGGAGTGAAAATGATTAAGACTTTTTAATATAACTTTGGTATATAAAGCAAAGACGATTTTTAAGACAATTTACTAACAGGCAAGAAATTGTTCTTTATTTATACAAAAAATTTTCATTATAATTATAAAGCAAAGTAAAAGGTTAAGTTAATGATTATCTTTTTTGTTTA